CTCTCCTCAGAATAATGTTTTGTTTGACCGACATGTTGGCAAAGAGCCATGCTAGCTGTAACTTGTTAAAGTCCCCTCACTGAGAGCCTGTGTGTGTATGTAACTGTTGTGATTTCAGCTGTAATGTGAGTAATATGCTCTCAGAATATTGAAGTTACTTCTAACAGCCCCAACAATTGAACTTTTATGCAATACCTGGCAGTAGTACTCCAAAAATTGTACAAATTAAAACAAGAATAAAAGTCACAAGGTCTGAACACCTACTTTGTCAGTAAACTTCATATTCTGACTAATGGAAAACTGAACAACATAAAGTCTGTCAAAGTGTGGCTTTTTCACAATAGATTTTATTTTGCACTTGTCTATGCTCTTCTCGCACACAATCCTGATGAAATGGATTTGCTGAGTTTTTGAATAACGACTTTGGATGTTTATTTCTGAACTTTAACTTTCATTGCTGCTGATTCAGTCCTAAGTATTTTAAGTTGTACATTTTCAGAGTAAAGGTGCAGTGAGTAGGATTTAGTGGCATCCAGCTGTGTATTTACTGATTGCTTCACCCTCCCCTTTCCAAGGGTGAATGACAAACTATGGCGGCTGCAAAAGGCCCTATCTAGAGTCAGGGTGGCTTCTAGGCTAGTGTAGAAACATGGTAGACTCCATGGAAGGTGACCTGCAGCGTATGTAGATATAAAAGCCTTGCTGAGCTAAATGCCAATGTCAGCATGCTAATTTGCTCACAGTATGCTGATGTGTAGCAACTATGATATTTACCATGTTTACCATCAAAGTTTAGGGTCTTGTAGCATGCAAATGTTTGCTAATCAGCATGAAACAAAAAGAACAACTAAGGCTGATGGGAATACCATTAGTTTTGCAGGTATTTGGTCCTTCACCAATGTACTTGACGGATAAAAAAAATTACCTGATGATGGTGCTAGAGGAAAATCAGTGGATCACCAAAGTTATCTGGACACCAAGGATATCTGTACATTATTTAATAGCAATCCATCCAACAACTGTTGGATATTTCAGGTGGACCAACATTGCCATCCCTATATTCTTTGATGTTTCAACATCATCTCTACTGATTAAATTGAGTTACCTCTTAGGTTTTTTCTTTTCAGGAATGGGTTGTCATAATAAACTTTAAACTTGAATTAAAAAAATGATTCCTGGGGGGCATCAGCCAATCAGATCCTACATACTAGAGAGAGTTGAGGCCTGCTCTGAAAAAGTTCCATTGGTTGACTTTCAAGCCAACCGGCATAAAATATTACCATTAAGAACTGTGTTTAAGGAAAACAAATAATAGGATGTGTGAGGCAGCTGCCTGGTCTGGGTATGTGTCTGTGTGACTGTCTCTCTGTCGCACTGTGAGTGCAAGTGAAAGAAAGAACAGGAGAGAGAAGAAATGGGAACAGAAAAAGAAATGGAGAGAAAGTGAGATGGACAGGGCGCTCTCCCTGTGTGTCTTTGTTGGGGAGTGTGCTTGCTTGTACCCTGGCTTTATTTGTGTTATGCCGTGTGATTCCATTGTGTGGAGGAGATCCTCTGAGCTTGTATTCCCACCCTCCCACCAGCTCCCTGCTTTAGATAAAGCTATCTGGATCTGCAGCACACCTTCCCCAAATGCATGTGAGCAGCTTACTGTTGTGGAGGCTCTCTCTATGTTCCTGGGGGATTCTGACGGTTGCATTGTGTGGGTTACAATGAGGGTGTGGTATGTTGGCACATAGCACCATCTCCAAAACCACTATTAAGATGTTAATGTGCACTGGCATTGCTGGCTCCAGGCAGTGCAGTCTTTTTACATCTTGGAAAGTCTACTACCTATTGAAATTTTTACATAGTTCACAGAATAGGGCAATCATGTTTAACTGCTATGGATTTTTTAGACAGTTAGGAGGACCACATGTGCACATATTGTACCTTGGGACAGAAGTAGGGCTGCAACTAATGATTATCTTTATTGTCCTATAAGCTATTGATTATTTTTGTGAATAAATTGACAACCCCTCACTAAGGGACATATTTTATGGATATTTCATATTATATTCAGTGCACAATATTAACGACAGAGAATAACTAATTAACTGTACAATGAACCCGAACAGTAAACACAATTACTGCAGTAATATTGTGTAAAACAAGTGATTTAAATGGATTTTGAGCAGATTTTTTCAGTGAATGCTGCATCAGAGATGAGTTTTCCTAAAAAAATTTAAATTCTTTTTATACATTTCTCTGTCTGTATTATGTAAATTTTATTTTTTTTAACAGCATTTAATAGGCTTAATTTAGTGTCCTTCACAGAAATGAACAAAATGCTGAGATATATAAAATGTTTCCTTACACCCCTTAAAATCAAGAAGGCCTCCTGACCCCCTATGGTGACTCCTAGTGGGGGTCCCGACCCCCAGGTTCCAGTGTGTCTGCAGTTGTGCACACCAGTGCTTTCTATTTAATACTAACATTTAACATTCTAACATGCATACATTGACATTAAGAACATGATGATGTTTAGCTGTTTTAATGTTTACCATGTAAACCATTGTAGTTCAGCGTGTTTCTCAGGTATTTGCTGTTTTGTAGCCTGATGATAGTGCCAGAGGAAAAGTTAAGAGACCAGTAAGGAGAACACAATTCAACAGGGAGGCAGGGATGTCTGTTCATTTTATGACAATCCATCCAACAGTTGTCAAGACATTTTATGTCAGTTGATCACCCAGTCAGTAAGAGTCATCCTCTGGGAACCATGAATGTCTGTAGAAACCTTCATGGTAATCCATCCAAAATTTCTTGAGAACTTTCTAAAAGCTTAAGGTGACATCTGTTGTGTTTACAATGGTGTAAAAGATTATTAAAATAATTAAAAGAAGCCGTAAGCCATTCCTTCTGAAAGCTTCAACCAGCCAGTGTTGGGCTTTTTTACCTAGCGTGGCTATATACTCTTTGTCTTGTTGCATGAGAAATTAATTTGCCAATTAACCAATTAACAACATTGTTGTTAATTAACAATGCTGAGCTTTATTTAAATGGTGATACAGTCTGCCACTGCATGGTTTCCACTAAATCCTACACACTGGTCCTTTAACTGCCCCCAGTGGTCAATGCATGTGCCATTTTGAGTGGGACTCTGGAGCCTGCATTATGAAACTGCTCTTACATTATCACTAGTAACAAGAGTTGTCAACCAGGACTGAATTGTTATATTTTAACTTTAACCCCTCGTCCCTGTTTGTGAATATTCAGCTCTAAATAATCATGATCTACATAAATGGTGCACATAATGGTGATGTGTTAAACTGAGATTAACTGAAGCTGTATGAGTATAGGGTGCTTTAAAGAAAAAGAAATGTTGGTGTTAGCCTCAGGATGATCAGTGTGTGGAGGTCAGCGCTTACTCATCATTTTACTTCACTGACTGTAACTAATGGCGTTTAGTGCACATTAGAAATACATTGAGATATACAGTAAGTGCATGAATGTGAAACTGTTTCCCTGTGTGTGGTGTGTGTGTGTGTGTGTGTGTGTGTGTGTGTGTGTGTGTGTGTGTGTGTGAGTGTGAGTGTAGACATCCCAGTGGTGGTACCCATTGTCTCCTGCATGCTAGTTTTGAACCTTAATAAGCCCTTGCCTCTGCTCACCGGATGTGAAGGCAGGGAGAGAGAAAATGGCTTTCTTACACTTCAATTTCACGCATATTTTCTTTGAGGCTAATGAGAGCCTTGAATACGGTGCCAGACTTCAGGCTCCACTGTTGAAGGCTGACATTTTCACACAAAGTGGCACCTTGTCACTGCGGATGAAGTCCTTATACCTGGCTGTTGAGAGGTGTGTGTGTGTATTGGCCTTTTGTGCGTCTATGTGTGAAGAAAAGAAGATCATTTGGTATACTGGTCTGTGCAATCCAGAGTTGATGTGTTTTTGTGTTATATTGTGTTTGTGCAGAGGTGTGTACTTTTTTTTCCAGCATGGTATATTAAGCGGCAGAACAGAGCAGATAATGTGATATATTTCAGGAGCGCACTGCACTGTCTCACTTTGCTATAATGTGTGCACTTTATATGTTTACGTAATGCACTTGTGTGTTTGTATGAGCAGATTTGCACGTGTGTTGATGATATATGTGCTAGTTTTTCAACATTTATTCTACTTCTGTATTATCACTCCCTCATCTGTGCTGAAAATATACTGATTCTCATGTAGATCTTCGGACAGAATGCAGCTCTCATAGATCTCTTCCTCCTGCAAGCTTTAACTCTTTGTCCCATCTGCTATTTCTATATCATACTGCTGTGCAGCACATATCACCAAATTGATAGTGATACAATTCCCATTTAATCACAGCTCTGGACAGGGAAAATTATGAATAAATAAACACTTGAAAGGACCTGCTCATCTTGTCAGCATTGTTGTCATCTCCCATGAAGCCTAAACAAATATGCCTGCCAGGTTTCTTACCTTGCGGAGAGTACTCATAAAATGGACGTTGGAGGTAATTATAGAGCTGGAGATATGGAAGGGGAACTTGTGTGTGTGTGTGTGTGTGTGTGTTTCTTTATATTTTCATATCCCATGTGGAAAGATAAAGAAGGTTAGAATGGAGCTTGGTTGCTTTCTGGTTGTTTGATTGCTCCACTGCCCCCTCACAATGATTAAACAACTTTTTTCCCCATTTGATTGTTAACTGTTCCTGTGGCCGTACCTTTTGTTACAGGCTCAGTCTTATATATGCAATATATGCCTTAGTCTAAGCCACTAGGACAGCAGAAGAGGCTTGTGGGAAAGCCCAACAATGAGGTGTCTGTTTGCATATGAGTGTGTGTGTGTGTGTGTGTTTGTCTCCCACACGGCCCCGCTTCTGCCACTCACTGTAAACTAGTCTGCAGCTCGTCACAGACAGACGCTGACACACTCCCAGTCTAATGTGCTCATTAGGGACTGCACAGCACACACATAATTGATAGCCATGACACAAGATGCACACACACACATTATTGCAAAAAACGGTTTCCTTTTTTTAATGCTGCAGTAGAAAACAAGGTTATATGAAGTCATATAATGGGGGTTCATTGTCAAGAACAACAACAACAGAAAAACTAAAGAACGAAATGAAAAAGACTAACGGCACAGAATGCATTACAGTATCTGTGCTGTTTACATGCCGATATTTTACACATAAGGATTTTTTTTTATTTCTCTACACTGGCAGCTGTCAGTTACTTCAGCAAATTAACTGCCAAAAATGTAGCAGAACTTGTCACTCAAGAGGTTAGTGTAACCATGGTTACCTTTCATATCCCAAAAAGATAAAGCTGCAGTGTGGAATCATGGCAGAGTAATTAGACAGAACAAAAAAATAGGACCAATCGAAAAGGCATTCAACGATATGAAACAACCAAGAGTGCTTATAAATAACAGTTTACATGTGAAATATCTTCATAAAGTAACATCTTTTTTGTACAACCTTTTATATCTTTTTAGTCTTCATACAGCGGCACATGAAGAGTAGTGTCTGGTAAAAAGAGTCTTTAACCCTTTGAGCACGAGTTGGGAATAAAAAGATTCACCTGTTGTCATCCTTTTGCTACCTATCTTTTTTCGTATCCTTTGATTAAATAACACATTTATAAAACTATTGTGCAAAACAATTTTATTTATGTCTTCATATACTGTGCACCAGCAGATAGTCATAATCCTTTTAAATTAAAAATATAGAAATGATGCATAATTTAGACAGGAAGTAGTTAATATGTTTTTATATACATATTTTACACAGACCTGAATTAATATAGGTCCCTGATCGACCAAAGTAAAATACTTCAGATTTCTTTTTTCTTTCTTACCACATAGCTACAATGCTTGTGTCAAGTCCTGCAAGCATCTCTCAGACAAATATTAAGCCCAAAATGAAAACCTTGCAGTGAATAGAGAATCTCCTTTTTATGAAATGCTTTCATGTATAGGATTAGACTGTATGTCTGGGAAACGGGCATTGCAGACACAATGCACACATTGTCCATCTAATTCTCACAATAGCTTAAATTCCCAAATCTTGAGTCGATAATGTTTGGATCTTAGGTGTAGAAGTGCTTTAACGTACTCAGAGGGTTAAATTTTAAATGCTGACTCCAGCAAAAAGAAGAATAAAGATAGAGCGAGCGGGAGAGTGAAAAAAAAGAAAACAAAATCATGGAAAGTGCACCAGATTTAGTTATAAAATGTTTAACTAAACTGTTTCATTTATGCATGCAGCTTATCACAACCCAGTGATGCCAAAATATAAAGGACCTTAATTCCATTTACACAAGTTTCAAAATACACACCACTTCATTTTAGAATCTCTTTTTTTAAACCTTCATATACTATATCTTCTCAATGACAACAGCCCCTGTCTGCACATTTTGAAAAAAGTCACTATTCCTGTCCTGTCTTGGGCCAGAGAAACAAAAAGAAAAAGCAACTGCTACAACACAAAATTTAAAACCATGTGCCAAAACTTAAAGCAGTAGTTGTATGCCATCTTTGTGCAGTTCCATCACGTTAATAATCCTTTATTTTCTTCGAAAGAAATGTCTGTGAAATGCTCAAGAGAGACAGGGCAAGAAAGAGTGAGCCATTACAAAAGAATGCAGCATTGTCCACAGTCAGTGCTACTGTTTCTCCAGCTCACACACATACATGAGATGGTCCTCTGGGGACTTCCCATGAGTCTTGCTCAGGTGAAGCTTGACCGCATGCTTGCTTGCAAAAGTCCGGTTGCAGAGCTTGCACTGGTACACGGCCCCACTGTCGTCGTCGTTGTCGGGGGAGGGTGACGAGGATTCAGTTGAGGGCAGAGAGGTGGTTAAGGATGAGGGCAGGGAGATGGGTAAGGAAGATGGTAGGGATGTGGGTAGAGAGGAGGGTAAAGGGTGGCTGGATGGGTGAAGATTAGAAAGCAGTTTTTCAGATAGTCCTTTGGTATGGCGTTGTTGATGATGTTGCTGCGATATCTGGCTGAGCAGCTGCTCCCCAGAAAGCTTGGCCAGATCTCGTAGACGGAAGCCCAAGTGGGATTCCAAGTGGCTGACATACGTGGATGGTGAGCGGATCTGAGAGGCGCAGTCGCTGCAGAAAAACACTGGGTGACCTGAATCCAAGTTTTTCAAGAACTTGGTGCCACCGGTTCTCCTCAGCTGGTACTTAACATTAGCCAACCAGTGGGATATTGTAGTCATTGAGAGGCCAGTGAAACGGGAGATGTGCATTCTCTCCTGTGGGCTCAGGTCCGACATCATGTATTTGCCATCACTTGTTTGTCTCAGACTGGAAGCAAACTGGGCTTGTAGGATGAGGAGGTGTTGAGGGTTCCAGTTGGACTGACGGCCTTTACGTTTCTGGGCTGGTGAAATATCTTCTGTCTCCTCCTGTGTGACACCTTCAATGTCAGAGCGCTCGGACAGGCTGGTAGGTGTGGAGGCCTTAGAGACAGCCTGACTCTCTGTCAGGTTTCTCAACATGTCAGAGATGTCTGACAGTGCATTTTCTCTCAAAGGGGAGGTGGCCATAAAGGAAGCTACTGCAGCTGAGGCTTTGGTCATAGTGACAGTGGAGGAAGGTGAAATTGAGGTTGGGGTGGAGATAGTAGAAGAGAGAGCTGTTGAACCCAAAGAACCACTATTGCTGTTTTTGTCAGCATTTTTGCCTTTGGTGAGATCTATGGGTTGGTCATTGTTTAGATGTTGCTGGTAGAAGTAGCGGTCTAAGTGGTCATTACTGGGCTTTTTGGTCTGTGCTGGTGGGGTGGAGGCAGCGACCGCTGCTTTCTCTGCCAGGCTGTTGCTCATCTTGAACAGCATGCTCATGGGGTCAAGGGAGGGCAGGGCAGGCTTAGCGGCCTTCCCCAGGTGAACGTTCATTACTGACTGCAGTGCGCTGAGAGGGTTGACGAATGGTTGTTCTGGAGGTGGATGGTCTGTGATGATAGCTGTACTGCCACACAGGGAGGCAGGCAGGGGGGATGTCACAGCTGTGGACTCCACTCCATTCTCCACAGACTCTTTTATGGAAATATCTCCATTTGAATCTCTGTGATTGGCTCCACTTCCATTGCCTACTACTTTTTCCACTCCACATGTATTCTCAGGAGTTTTACAGCCTCCTGCTCTGTTTTCTTTGGGGGATTCTCCTCGGGCTGAGTCCCCTGCCTCACTGTTGCTGGGTGAGGGCGTGGTACGTCTCAGAGGAGAGCCCCTCACAACACCACTGGGCTCTCTCATTTTCTCCTCTACCTTGGCCACTTTCTCTGTCACTTTCTTGACCAATTCCTCCATAGCATGGAAGTTGTTTTTGGGCAGTGGGGAGGTCTGGCGGCTGGAAGGGGAGATCAGAGGCTTACCAGTGGGAGAGAGGATCTCCCCTCCATGAAACATGTACTTAAGGGGGGAACTCTTCCCAGAGTTGCCTAAAGAGAGCTTCATTATGTTTGGGAGCTGGTAGGCAGCATGGATACTGGGATATCCACCCCAGCTTGGGGCTCCATTCTGGGCTTTGTTGATGGCTGAGGTCACTGTGTTCTCCAAAGACTTCAGGATGTCAAGACCCCCTTTTGGACTTTCATCCAGGTCCTCCTCAGTCAGATAAGTGTATTTGGAAGAAACATCAAACTTCTCCTCGGCCTCATCCTCGCCTCCTACCTTCTTCTCCTTGTTGAGATTGTTACCATTGTTGATGATGGACTCTTTAGTGCATTCCTCCTCCTTCTCCTCCTTTTTTATCTCCACAACCATGGCAGTTGGGGAGATGCTGGTTGGAGGAGGCACTGGGGCAGGTGGAGGGGAGAAGGTTGTGGCAGCCAAGGGAACAGACTGGACCCTTTCTTCAGTTGTTGAATTGGATGTGGGGGCTGGGGTGGATGACTCAATAATGGGTTTTCCTTTCTTAATAGCAGAGTTGGTGACTTTAATAAAATGTCCTGTCACCATCATGTGAGCAGTTAGCTCTTGCAGTGTGTCATGAGAGCTGCCACACTCCATGCATTTAAGGATTTGTGACTTCCTGGACTCAAACTGCCAGGCATAGCTGGCACCGTTCTGGTGTCCATAGCGGTTGTTAGGTGTGATGTAAGGGTTGGTGACCTTCTGGAGTATGTCATTAGAGTCGTTGAGCGAGGTGGGCTTAGGTGTGCCTCCATTAGAGTCAGGTGAGCTAGGGATGTCTAGGTCTATAGGAGCTCTCTTACGAGCTGAGGAGATAATCTTAGCTGCCACTGGTGTAACTGGCTCTTTCAGAGGCACTTTCTGGTAGTGTTTCGTCTTGATCATATGGACACTTAGATCCTGAAGAGATTCAAAGGAGTGCCCACAGTACATGCACTTCAGAACTTTCTGTGCATCCTCCTTCCCCTCCATCTCTAGCAAGGAACGCTTTCTGGGTTTTGACCACCGTTTTGCACCCTCACCATCTGTCTCGTGGTTATCATCACGGTAGTGGCCTGTCTCATTCATGTGCACTGTGAGCTCCACCAGTGTGTCATAGGCCGCACTGCAGTCCTTACAGCGGAACTTGCTGGCCCCAGTGAATATAGAGCCATACAGTTTGGAGCTCTGTCGGTACAGCTGGACAGTACTAAAGAGGTTTGGTTCTGTAGATGCTTGAGATATAGCCACTGTGGGATGCTGGACCAGGCCAAGTCTGTGTTGGTGGTTCTGTGAGGCCTGCTGGAGGGTTTTAGCCATAGCTGTCTGATGCCAGTCATAGCCTCCGCTACCACAGCTACTGCTACTGCTGCTACTACTGCTGCTGCTGTGACTGCGAGGGGGTTTTTCTGCAGGGGGCTGGGTCAGGTTCAGATTCAGTGTGGACCAATAGGAGTTGGTCAGGAAAGAGGTGTAAATGGCCTTCATCTTCTCCAGACTGTCAGCCACTGATCCTGTTGTGGCTAATATGGCCTCATCTCCACTTACTGGGGCAGCGGCATTGGCAGCAACCATCATGGCAGACGAGGAAGACAGGGACAGGGCATTTGAGGGGTCTTTAGAAAGTAGGACGTCATCCTCATTTTTAAGCGAGGAGCTCTCAAAATCAGACATTCTGTCACTGGATTCGCTCAGATGAGACTCACTGTCGAGCTCCTGACCAGAAAAGTCAGCAGCATTAGGGGAGTCATGGAAGCCAGTGGATCCTGGCCTGTCCTGGCATAGAAACTTGGCGACAGGCTCCTCCCCTTCCTGAGCTGAGTCGTCTCCATCAAGGTCCTCATCCAACAGGGCTGCTTCCTTCTCATCTTCAGGGACATATGCTGCTCAGGCAGAGACAAGAAAAAACAAAGAGAGATTTGTTAGAACCACAATGACAGCATATCTAAAGATTTAGATTCTCAACTCTGTATTCCTGTTTGTTCACGAAGCAGGGAACTGATAGAAATGCAAGATACTGACATTTTCACGTTCTGCACTAGAAACAGAGCAATCATCTAATGACATTCACAGACAAAGTCTTTCCTATCATGAACTGTTGCAGTAATTCTATTCTAACTTCCCCCTTTTACACTGACATTGTTTTCAAATTGGAATCAAGTCGCCACCCCCTCCCATTCTCTCTCCACCCCCAGGTCTTTGTTCTGTACTGCAGAAAATCAGAGACAGCCAGAGAGAGAGATGGAGGATGGAAAGAGAAAGATGGAGGGAGGGAGAGGGGAAAAATGTCTCTTCAAACAGAAGTTGCCACCTTATTCTTCTCAAGGGGCAACAGCTTGAAATTAAAACTAAATTTGAAATTAATGAAGCACATTCTGGCGGTGGCATTCGTTTCTGAAGTAATAAATTACTTGTATCAACCTCGGAGACAGCGGTTCCTGTCTGTCAATTAATATGTCTTACGCTTCTTCTGCAGACTCTAATGCATTCCCTAACAGACACACTCGCCATTTAAATTAAGCATGCATTTTCACTCATTACACTGCTCAGCCCTCGCCTCCTCGTAAATAAAAATGAATGTATGTACGTTTGCCTGCAACAAATCTCTCCCCGCAAAACCCATTTGCTTCAATTACCAAAGATTAGAAAAAGTTTAGAGTTATTATTTACAGTTTAGCTTCGGGGAGTGGGCTTGAGGCTTTCAATTTATATTCAAATCCCTCTAGTTTAACTATAATACAATGGAAATCATACAGAGAAAATACGTATCGAGACAAATCACAGTCTCGCCTCTTTTTACATCTATGAATGTTTTCTTTTGTTAATAAGTCTATCAAAACGATAAAACAACATAAGATGAGAAATGCTGAATGCCCACACTTTGTGGATTTCTGAATAATAATTGAAGCACTCATAGGCACATGCATACACAAACCTCTTGTTTTAGCAACTACACTGGCAAAGAAGATGAGCGTGTGTGTGTGAACGTCAGCGGCCTTGTGCCTTGCATTCCATTCTGTAACAGGCCATCACTCATCTGAGCTGGTATGTAAACACAGAGTAAGCCGGTCAGTGGGATGGGTGTGGCACGGAAGCACATATTCAATCACAATCTACCAACTCAAAGGTTAAATAAATGTTAGATCTATGGTTAAAATGCACAGTAAAATTCCTTATTAACAACATAAAGAGAAAAAAAAAATAGAAAGTTAACTAGGTTGACAAAATAATTATACCTACAGTTTGTAAAAATACGAGCTTGAAAACATTGGAAAATATGGGCCTTCACAAGTAATACCTACATAACCTGCCAGCCATTTCATACAACACACTTCAGCTGTTGCAGACTCCAATCTCTAACTGAGCACTGCAGGTTGTGTGTGTATCGGTGTATGTGCTAGTACTGCATCAGCAGCAAAACAGAGAGGAGTCTCTGTCATTGTCAGGCCACTGGTTGCCATCGGCAATGATACAACACCGCCGTGGGACAAACATATGCACAGAGACACAGATATCCCAGAGCCCATCACACAAACCGGCACACACACACACACACACACACACACACACACACACACACACACACACACACACACACACACACACACACACAGTTATACTGTAACTGCTGTAGCCTAACAACTCTTTGCCTTCAGGCAATTTCAGGAAGCTTCTCTGTTGAACATGCAGTCTGCTCCAGTGTTCAGTTTAACAAAAAGGATCCATTTGAAATACTTCAAACATGTTATCTTATATTAGATGCTGTTATGTGCAATCCAAAAACTGCAGGGTCACGTGACCCCATCCACGCTGCATGATTTACTGTTGTTTGTCTTTTATTTTATTCAAGTACATCTATTTTAAAACCTTGATGATCCAATTTAGCTGCATGTTTTAACATTTATGGATATCACACACACAGACACGCACAAACTCATACCTACACTCTCCCCTTCTCCGAGCTTCCCCATCTCTCCCTGTCTCTCTCTCTCCCCCCGACTCTGTCTCGGAGACACATCCACCCGCCCGCACATACATGCAGCCGAGCAAACCCACATGTACATGCCATCTGTTCTGAATCAGCCAAAACGACAGCTGTTTAAGAGAACAATGCTCTGGCTGAGGAAACAGCCGAATACAGCAGCCCGGTGCTCTCATCAAGGCCAAACATCAATGTGAAATCTCCTTTAAAACACAACGTACACACTCCACTTCAAATTAGCTGCCTTTGTGTGATAAGAACATGGTGTGTATTTGTGTGTGGGTGCCCATCTGTGTACCTGCGAGTGTGTGATATGTATAGAGACACATGCAGAGGATCAGGGAGAAAATAGTGTTTGCCACCAAGACCGGTATAGTGTGCTGCTGAATGAAACCTTGGTGTGTAGGCTACATCCACCTACATGGAGCATGAAGCGCACGACTGATTTCTGGACTTGTCTGAGGCAGAGGATGTTGAAATATGGCATCATTTTGACATTTAATAGATACAGTGTTACAATAAATTGATACAATGGCCTGCATTAAAGGCGCTACAATGACAGTTTAGGTTCGCATTTGTGACATCATAAACCCTGCTGATGGCAGTTTCAGCAATTTTATATATCCTAACCACAATATCCTTTAGTGTGAAAAAATTGGCTTGTTTAAGTTCATTTTGAACTTAGTTTTCTTTGGCATGTCACCATCCACTGTTGGCAATGGCAACATTTGTGTTTTGTAATGTATACTAGTGATTTTTGGTCTTGAGATGAGCTCAAGTGCCCCAATGTCAACACCTCTCACTATGTTCCACATTTTAACACTTAATAAAATGAATATAATTATACACTTTAATTCAAGACACAGTGATATTGAAATTGTTGACTATTAACTAAATATTACTATTGTGTTGGGGTCTATAATACCAAATAAACATGTTTTCTTACTTCCTGAGAACAAGATCTATAAGCCTGCAGCACTACAGTATTTCACTATAATGCTATTTTGTCACACATTCTATGTTTGTTTTTTTTTAAACTGCAGCTTCTGAGATTTGGATATTGCGATTAATCTTGCAGTCCTGTATAGTCAGCCTGTCATAGCTGGTAGTTTATTGGTCATCGTGACAATAAATATACTAAAAATCAACCTGAAACCAGTCAATATTTTTTGGGTAATATATCAGATTTGCAAATTTTCTTATTTACTCCGATCTTGCCACACACTGCATAAGAATCCCCTTGGTTGGGAATAACTGATGTACACTTTCCCTAACAGTAGACTTTGCCAGCAGTTTTGCCCTAACTCCATTCTTTAGCCAAAAGCTGGCAGAACATGGTTTTCACTGTGTTTGTGTGTGAGGAGTTCAAGATGGGGAAAGGGTCACTCTCTACCTTATCCATTATTGCATTTATTGTTGTAGCTTGCACAGTCAAATAAAGCTGCGACAGAATTTATAGTGCAAATCAAAGACAGGAAGGAGGAAGGAGACATGAATAAATGTTTTAGAGGGAGAAGAGACTGAGGGGAGAAGAGGAGGAGGAGGAGGAGGAGGAGGAGGAGGGGAGGCTTGGCTTGGAAGGAAGTCAAGACTGAGGCCACACACACACAAACATGAACATGCAGAGATGATCCCCAAGGCCACTGGCTTAGGTCCAGGCTGCGAGGTTCACAACACTATGACCTAGGATAGTGAGATAAATATGGAGAAACCCATCAACGCAGAGAGACACACACACACACAGACACATACAACCACTGCAGTAGAAGAAGCCTGGGCCCAACACACTGGGTATACAGGTGCTCTTTTAATTAGTAGACAGAGAGAGACGGAGAGTTCCAGATGAATTGTCAGCAGGGTGGAAGAGGTGGTTTGATCTCATTTTCAGGCTGGGAGAGATTGCCGATTTTGGAAGCCGAGGCAAGCACCACAGTTGTTTCTGGGAGAGCTAGAAGGGCTTGGAAATTATTCCTGACATCTGAACAAAACCACTAATCCCTGCTTTTACAGTAAATAATGCTAATAATAAATGGCTCAAATGGAAGTAAATGGAGAATTCAGATTTACAGTCACATCAAAAACACTTACAAAGCTGTGATTCTGAACTGTGTGTCTGTGTTCCTGTCTGTGTGTAGAGTGAGGAAATGCTTATGCACTCTGCAGATGTTATGATGTTAGGAAACAGTTTATCATGCTTATATAACCACTTAACAGCCCTATCAGACACACAGGCACGTCAGAGCTGTCTGTTTACACTTCTGCTTGGACCGTGTAGTTTCAGTGTGTGTGTGCGTGTGTGTGTCTGTGTGTGTGTGTGTGTGTGTGTGTGTGAGAGAGAGAGGGAGAGAGAGAGGGGGACAGACTGTCCACATCAGCCTCATGTAGGGCAATGTTTTTGTTGAGACAAAGCTGAAGACAAGTCTGGAGGCCTGAAATGAGAGCAACCCCCAGTTCGAATTTTCTCTCCTATGTGTGAGTGTATTTTTGTATATTTGTGTGTAACATGGTTACCCCCCGCCCCCCGCCATTTCCCACTTGATGAGATCCTATAATCTCCCTCACCCTCCCCCCTCCCTCCCTCCCTCCCTCTTTTCCCATCCCCTCCCCAATCAGCAGTGCAACCCATGTTAATGAAGTTAATTGAATCTAAGATCGATAATGCTTAATTATTGTGATTTGACATACACTGACAAATTGGTGGGGTGGCTTCTGTGTGTGTGCGTGCAGCGAGGGTGGTTAAAGGGGCATGGCAGTCTGCAGTGAGCGCCTTGGGATTGGCGAGGCGTGCTATCGATCCCAAGAGGTGTTCGATCGACCCCGACACCTGACGAATGGAGCTCTTCCTTCAACCAGCTACATGACTTACCGGACTTGTAACATATTTACAGTATCATTGCAATA